GGGACAGACCTGTACTATCATGTACAGCATTATTGTAAGCCACTTCTGCATAAGGTAATAAATCCACCCAGTTGTCCTGTTGATAGTTTATAAAGCATCTTAGATATTGTTCCAACCCTGCATGCCTCCTCTCCGTCGCTCCGTCTGTTTGGGGATGAAAAGAAGCTTTTTTAAACTGACATTTGATTGATGCAGGTTCTGACAAGCAGATTTTCTGCTTCTTGCTTTCAAGAGATGCTTTTTTCCACCAGCCCTTTAGGGAATTATGCGAACAGCAATGCAGTACATAACATTTTCCACCATTCTGTGTCACACATATATAATGTTTTATTGGTATTCCAGCAGAACTTCCCTCTGTGCGCATTGTAGATATATGGAAACTGATTTTGTCATTACAGTAGAAGATCATTCAAAAATGTAATCTGGGAGGTATCTTCCAATCTAACAGAGCAATAAAAAGGAGGAAATTGCATATTTTGAAAAGAATTTTTTAAAAGGCTGATTCCTTAATTTTATTTTTGCAACATTAGCAACTTCGAGAACATTTGGGAATAAAACCATGCTTATTTATCAGCCTGCCACTAGCATTAGCTGAGTTTAGTACAGCTCTGTTAGAAACGTGTTCCAAGTAACCCTTGGGCCCAGCTGTTACTAAAATTAGCCTCTTCATTGCGTAAAAAGCAACGGTTGGGTTTATCTGTACTTCTGAGTTTCAAAGTTAATTGTCCGCCCAAACATCAACAAGTATTTATTAAATAAGTTGTTTGCTTTTTCCTGGAGTGGGAAGCGAAGCAGGATGAGGCCTGGTTAGCCATCGGAGGGGAGTAGATGTGGGAAAGTGGGAAAACACCTTGTGCTGTTGCTAAGAAAAGCGTGTGGACCTGTGCACCACGAAGTCACCACACCCTGCGCACAAAGGAACTTTGAGGGACCAGGGCTCTTCCACTTCTCTCCTGAGTAGGTAGCGCACGTTGGAGGCAGCATTTGGGAACTTCTGTCCCAGGACAGCCCCGTCCTATCCTTGTCGCGTGCTGCCGGGACCCCTCTGTCATGCATCCCCCTCAAAATGATGAATTATGATTGTTGTTTCTACCGCTATCAAAGGGCAGCAGCCTGCTCGGAGCCTTTGAGTCAGGAAAGCAGCCCGACTTCGTTGCTCAGGCATTTCTTCGGCCTCCAGGTCTTTCACTTAGGGGAAGGGATGGATTCGAAGAACTGGATGAGTCGCAACGGGGGCGATATGGGCAAGATGTACCTGAACCACATCCGGGAGGTGGTGCACTTCATTGCCAGCCAGCCGTGGGGGCTGCAGGTGCTGCTCTGGGACGACATGCTGCGAAAGGTGGGCGCCGCAGCCATCCAA